AAGATGGTGGCTTCCCAAAAAGCTATTTTTCAGGGCAAGATCATGTCCCCAAACTGTGGCAGCACGGTGTCCAAAATGTCCATCATGCTCTTGCAGGAAAAAACAGGATGTCCCTTTCCCCCAGGACAGTTAAGGGGTATGCTAATACACATAATCTACGGCACGGATGGGGAACTTGTAGACCTCCAAATATTGTTAGACTCCAATTCCCATCAGCTTCAGCCAGCACAGAGCCTTATTAGCTCTGTCAGGCAGGTAAGAAGATGTGTCTGTGTGGTGAGGGTGTAGAATCAACATCCTAAATTCAGGTTGGGGAACTGAAGCCCTCCTGGCATTCTTAGACTACAGCAATCATCCTCGCTGGTCATTGGCCATGCTCTAGACCAGCTCACAAAATCTGTCACAGGGTCATGGCAAATGTATATGAAATCAATTGCGGCTTCCTCATCTGACTTTGCCTTGCTGCATTTAAGTACATTCCATAATGAAGGAAACAAGCATAACATATGAGAAAGTAATTTGTCGCTGGCGTACCGTTCTTTGCTAGGGAGCTGCCACCTGCTGCCATTAAATAATCTGAGAACAAATCAATTATGTCCACTCAATATATAAACCATAATATTCCCAAGGCTAATCGCTTGAGCACATCTAAGTATGTACGCACACAGACACAGCAAAGCAGAGGTATAAGAGAAAAGAAAGAATGGAATTAGTCACCAAAGGCAACCAGTCAGGAAAGCTGGTGGGGAAAAGGAACATGGGGACCTGCCTTTATACCATTGGTCCATGTAGCTCAGTATTGTTTACACTGATTGGCAGAAGCTCTCTGAGGTCACAGACTGGAGATGCTTCCAGTCTCATGTGGAGGTGTTAGAGATTGAACCTGGCACTTTCTGCATTCAAGGCAGGTGCTCTTATATGGAGCTGCATCCCCTCCCCTAAGAAAATATGTGGTCATCATGAGTAATTTAGGGCACATCCAGATTACCTTTTGTGTCGTGTTTCTAGGCACATGCCTGCAACTTAAAGCACCATGTCCTTTCCCCTGCTTGTCTGGGCCTGACGGTTGCCATCAAGGTTGAGATAGTAGTGATCAGCAGTGGGTAGGGCTAGGGTGTGGGCCTCTGCAGATACCTCACAATGCTAACCCCTGATGATCCTGATGGTTACTTCTTGGGGGTGGGGTGGAATGTAGGTGTTGGAAAACAAGGCAGAAGCAAATACATCCCTTGCCATTTGAACATTTGGAGAGAACTGTTGCTAATTGTACACTAGCATTTCTCCCAAGGGTGCCTCCAGACTCAAAGTATTTTGCAGGAGTGAGTCAAAAGCATGTTGATAATTTAGATCTGTGCAAGGAAAGTAGCTTAAAGGGCTCTGCTGCCCTAGCACAACAAATTCACTTTTAAATAGAAAAGGCTCCTCCAGAGGACCTGTTTATTGAACATTCATCCTAATTTGCTACCACAAAGCTTACACGGGAAGTTAGATTATTTATTTATTTATGCTTGCACTGCCACCCCCCCACCCCCGCCAATCCCTGGTAAACCAGCCTACTCATGCACATAGAATGTTAATTATGCTTGACAAAAGAAGATAAAGACACATACAGTGGTACCTTGGGTTACAAACACCTTGGGTTACAGACGCTTCAGCTTACAAACTCCGCTAACCTGGGAGTACTACCTCGGGTTATGAACTTTGCCACAGGGTGAGAACGGAAATCGCGTGGTGGCAGCATGGCAGCAGCAGGAGGCCCCATTAGCTAAAGTGGTACCTCAGGTTAAGAACAGTTTCAGGTTAAGAACGGACCTCTGGAATGAATTAAGTTTGTAACCCGAGGTACCATTGTAGAATTCTATAAGAATGATTCTTATAGAATATAGAAGGGCTATATGTTGTTGTTTTTAATCTGTCCATCCAAGGTAGGGATTTGCTTTGGAATGACAACAGTTAAAGCTGGGCTGAGGAGGAAGGAGACAAATTAATATATGATCTCTCTTAGACAGAGGGCTCCAGAAACAGAATTATTTTGTAATGTTTCGTTTCTTTTTTTATAAAAAAATCTAATTGATGTTCTGACTGTAGCTATGAACTCCTTTTTTTGCTGTCACTTTAATAAATGCACACTGGGTTCACCTCCCACGTAAGGCAAGCAAGCCCCATGAGTGTAGATGGGGAGACCTTTAAGAAAAGACCAATATTTGCATATCTATTATAAATGTACTCTTGTGTTATTCTTGTTTCATTAAAAATTTCTATTTGGATAATATGCAAGGTCAATACTGTCAGTGTTGTGGAAAATTCATTTATTTTTAAATTAAAGCTAAATACAGAAAAGCTACTTTCTGAAAGTGGTGTAAATCCAGGAGACCTCCACTGATATGAGTAGTATTACTCTGGTCTGTGTCAGATCAGAATTTATGCTGGTATATTTATAGATTCTCAGAATATTGCATGAGGGGAAGCTAACATGGCAATTACATCAATTTACTTTCTCCAGGTAAACCTATTATTTAAAATACTTTTCCAAACCAATATTCTGAACCCTGAAGCTCAGGTGTGTATTATTTCTCCATCCTTTACAACGGAAGAACAGAACTCTCCATTCCATGTTTCACTGAGTTTGTTGCTAGTTATGTTTCTTTGAAATGAATGGAGACCCCCACAGGAATTGTTCTTGTGCAGTCATTGAAAACAGAAGTTGGGGTGTGGATAAATATGAAAGGAAATATATAGGTCAAGTGCTCATTTGCTTTCTGATTGGAAATCAGATCCACTTTGGTGCAACCGGATGAACTGGGCAGGACAAGACTAAAGTAATTTGGCATAGTGAGAACTCATTAAACGTGTTATTCTTTCATATGCCACAGACCAGTGCTTTTTGCACATTTAACTGTGCAGAAGCCACCAATAAAATGTTGTTGTTGCTTGGGACTTATCAGCTGATTCTAACTCTTACCCCAGTGACCAAACCTTCCTGCCTTCTAATGTTCTTCTCCCAAAACTCAATGCTGGCATTTGTGAGCTCACTCATGAATCCAAATATCCATGAATTTGGATATTTGATTTAGCAGTCTGACATGGCATGAACAGCCAGTGTGATACTTTTTGGTTGTGTGCTGTTGTATTGCAGAGCTATTATACGATGTTTAGTATATTTAGCCTGGAAAAGAGGAGACCGAGAGGAGATATGATAGCCATCTACAAATACCGAAAGGGCTGGCACATGGCACATGGCACATGGCGCAAGCTTGTTTTCTCCTGCTCTTCAGGGTAGAATCTAAACCAATGGAATTCAGTTACAAGAAAGGAGAGTCCAACTAACTATCAGGAAGAACTTTCTGACAGTAAGAACTGTTCAACAGTGGAACGGTTCTCCTCGGGAGGTTGTGGACTCTGTTACGATATAGAAGCAATGCAGCCACGAGCTGCTAGCTTGAAAACAGCACATGATGGAATGTTAGGACTGTTCCGTGGGAAACAGAGGGACAGTTACTTCACAGTGCGAAGCACCGGAATTAGTTCAGAGTGTAATATGAGCTCTTCCTTTTGCTCTTGTACAGGAAGTACAGGAAGTGTTTGTCACTCGACTGCTGGAGCTTGTTTCTGTCTATCTCTTTCCCCTGCCGGGGGGGGCAGGAAAGAGGGGGGGTGTTCTTCTCACGCTGAGAAAGATCGCCTATCGCGACCTCTGCCTGGATCTTGCCGGGAAAGTAGACAGGGAGGTCAACAGGAGACCAAGCCGGGTGCCTGGGAGTGTTGCCAGTTTCTCCTGATAAAGGCTTGATTTCCTTCCTTGGAGGTTTTTAAGTGGAGGTCAGGTGGTCATCTGCCATGGATGCTTTAGCTAGCTGAGATTCCTGCATTGCAGGCGGTTGTGCCAGGATGTTAAAACTGCAGTCAAAGAGAGATCCTTCAAGGAAGAGAAGGCAAGCCTGGATATTCACAAAATAGCTTGTTGTGTGCAACATTTTATTGGTAAATGTAAGAGTCCTACTGTTTTCTAATGTCCAAACTCTGGCCAGCTGCTGGCAGAGGGTGACAGAGCAGCTAAGCCACTGCCTCACCAGCAGCTGCACTGCATTCAAGCATAGCAAAATATCAAACACTAAAAACTTCCCAATATAGGGCTGCCTTCAGATGTCTTCTAAAAGTCAGATAGTTGTTTATTTCCTTGACATCTGATGGGAGGCCATTCCATATGGTGAGTGCAACTCCTGAGAAGGCCCCTTGCCTTCTGGCTTACTCCCTCTTCCTTAAGCCCCCAGAATTCCCTGTTTTAGATTCTTCTGTGGGCTACTGTTGGCAGATATCCTGTCAAGCAGTACTTCTTCCGGACCTCTGGGTGGGTGGAAGGGGAGCTCATCACCAGTGGCAGCCAGTGAAGGGATACATCCATCCAACCCAGCTCCCTCCACCTGCCCAGTCTGGTGCAAAGAGAGTTTGCATTGTAGCCTGAGGATTGTAGCTGATCCAAATTTTTTGGACTTGAATACTGCAAAAACAGTCAGTTAGCATTGATTGCCTGGATAAAGCGGCAAAAGATGTTATTGAACCGTGAAACGATGAAGCACTTAATGAAAACAACAGATCTGAAATGCTGAGATTTGAATATCAGAGGATGCTGTAAATATTTATTTTCTTCTGAAAGGTTTTGTGAGCAAAAATGTAGATTTTTACCAGATTGCAATAGCTTGATCATTGATTTCCCTAAAAAATAATTAGAAGTAGATGTATGCAATTATCATTCTTATAGTTAAATCTGATAAAAGTGTTTTCTGTTTAAGCCAATACATTTAAAGGTCTGCATTGGGCCCTGACTTATGGAGAAACAATATTGTCTATTTAACACCAGTAAACAGTGGTGGTTAAAATGATTATTTCTTTTCAATATTTCACCTGTGGGTTGAGAAATCCAATCTTGTACTTGGTTGTTATCAACAGGAACACAGAAGAATGAAAAGCTGTTTCTAAAGCCATAAAATCCATCCATTCCAATGACTTGGGAAGGTCAAGCTGTGAGCCTGGTAAGCAAAAGGATGGGAGTTCAAAGGACAGTCTTGAATACTAACGATGTAAATGAATTTAGTTGTAGCTATTAGTTGTTGTGTTGGCCTCCTTTAAAGGTAATGAGGGATTTTAATTCTCCCTGAGCTGAGACGCATCTTTAAATATGTAATTTGAGATCCCTTTTCCTAGCCTAGGAAACGAACACTTTCTCTGATTAGCACGGAAGTGTATGAAGTTGCAGATGAATTCATGAGCAAGCTTTGCTGTAGGCAAGGAAAGTATATAACAAACAGGCATCAGAAATGTACAAATGAATGAAATTAGTTATCAGTGTGGACCAGAGTAATGAAAAAAAGATATAGCAGGAGGTGCGTGCATAAAAAGACAGTCCTGTAAATAATCAGTAGGTGACCATGTAAACTTGACATGGTTTGGAGGGAGAAATATACATTTCTAATGGAACAAATTTTCATTTTCCACTTTACAATGGAAAAATATTTTAAGCAAGAGAAATATTTTTTCCCCTTTGTATGCTGCAAGGCTCTCAGGGCAGCATTTAGAGGGGTTGCTCTAAATTTATACTCACAGCAAGCCTATGAATGAGAGAGTGTTACTGAGCCCAGGTCAGCAAGGATTTTAATCCTGATTTACCTGCTCAGAGACTGGCACTGTTAATACTACATCATGCTTGCACTACACTCTTTAGAGCTCATAGTACAAGTATTCTCTACTGCCCTGCACAGCTACTCAGAGCATTAAAACATTTGTATGTGTCTGAGAACAATGAAAACACCTAATGCAGTGGTTCCCAATTAGGAGTCCGGGGACCCCAGGGAGTCCACAGAATGCACCCAGGGGGTCCGTGGCCCCATCCCTTGCCTCCCCCCCGACTAATTTTTCATCATTTTTGCATGGTAAAATCACAAATTTTATGGCCTGGTTTTTTAGTACACCTAAAATCATTTGCTTATTCAAAGCCAATTCAAGCCAATTCAAAAAATTGGTTTGCAGAGGTAACTACCATAGAGTTATCAAAATTTTCAAAAGTAGGGGGTCCATGGCTCGACTTTTGAAAAATAGGGGGTCCTCAGTAATTGGGAACCACTGATCTAACACACTTAAGACCTAAACTGCTAACCTCCACATTGTTATACTGTAAAAATGACCTGTGCCTTTGGTCATTATGGCACAGAGAGTCTTGAGAGTCTGGGTGCTCAGCCCCAGACCATGGTCTAAGGGCACAAAGCTACTTTGCTAAAACTAAACAGACCTGGGAATTGACTTGATGGAAGCCTACTTTGGAATCCCATGTAGGCCATCTTGAGTTCCAAAGTAGAAGAAAGGTGGGTTACAATTATCTAACTAACGATGAGAAGCATTATTTTCTACTTGCCACTGTAAACCAATTATATTCTTCCAGTTAAGGAATGAAATGCTACGGACAGCTGAACAGTCTTGAGGAAGCCATATTGTGGCAAATATTCACCTTTGTTTAAAAGTCAAATATCCATAAGAAATACTGGAAAGCTGCACAATGATGGTTGTTTTCACAATGGAAAATGGCTTCAAGGTGGGTTTGATGACTGAGATGGTTACAATTAGCCTCCTTGGTGTGGAAAAGCCCTCAAAATGAAAGAGACTCTTTTTGCCCCCAGACTTCAGGAACCACCAATAGTAGTTCTGTTTGCAACTTCTGTAGCAGAACCACTAGGGGGCAACAAGCTCACATACATGCATAGCCTATATGGCGTAGCTTTCTGTCCTTGCAAGGGTGTGTAAGAGGACCAGTTAATATCCGAGGCACATGGAGGTTATCAGCCTGCTTGAAAAAGGAAGGTACATTCATTTGTATTTATAGGGTATTCCTTCACAGAACATTCAGAATAACTTCAGCCATGCAGTTTTGTAAAGCACCTCAGAGCTGTTCTAGGAAGCGTGACAAACCAACAGCATCCCAGTTTTTCAATTCAGCCTATCACCCGTAGATATGGATGCCATTTCCCTCTGATAGTTTACTTTTATTGGAAGAACCTTAGGCAATTAGAATGAAGACCTTTAAGGCAGCTTTCCCCAACCTTGTGCCTTCCCAACATTTTGGACTATAACTCCCAAAATTTCTAACCGCTGGATTTATTGGTAGATAGAAATTGTAGTGAAAACTCATCAGGAGGGCACTGGCAGAAAGTGGAAGGCTGTTTTAAGGTGTGGTTGAATGGGCGTCAAGGCACATTTTTCTGGGTTTGGCAGTATTTGTTTTCAAGGCTGAGTCGTACCCATTTGTTTTCAAGGCTAAGTCACACCCATTTTATCACACATGAGAATATGTGGTTGGCTTCACTCATAGACTATGTACGCATGATGCATTTAAAGCATGTTTAAAACACAGACACCCCACTAGGGGTGGCTAACCTTTTTTTTTTTTTTTTTTTGCCCGAAAGTTGTAGTCACCCTTGGCCAACCAATGCCAGTTCCGTGTGTGGCCACCTGAAACTATTGCACACTCTTACATATCCCCCCCCCCAAACAAGCACACAGTCTCATCCTACAGAACAGAATGATCAGATGAGAAAGGGGATTATCACTTCCTCCTAAGCAAATGATCAACCCATATGTATCATGAGGCAGGGGTGAGTGGAGAGGTATGCATGCCTGTTATGGTATATTTTTAGTTTTGGTGATGCTGCTAGCAAAACTAGTAGGTTATGGAAATCAGAAATGTGTGTGTGTGTGTGTGTGTGTGTGTGTGTGTGTGTGTGTGGAATCAGGTCCACATCCTGGGGGTAAGCCATTCCTGTCTCTTAAGGAATGTGCCACAAGCCCTTGATGATCTGGTTGCCTTTTTCTGTCTTTTCCTCCTCTTAAGATGCCCTTTTATAGATGGGGTGACCAGAACTGTACATAGCATTCCAAATATAACTGCACCATAGATTTATAGAAAGGCATTTTACCCTTCAGGCTACTTTTATTTTTAGCCTTCTACTTTATAATCCCTAACATAGACTTACTGCTGGCTGCACACCACACTGATGTTTTCATTGAGCTATCCAGCGTATAATGAAACAAAATGTAGTACAATGTGGTACCCAGAGTACAGCCTGCTATCAGTCATCGCTGTGCTTAGAATTTCATATAGTACATTTGTGTTTCGTCTTTCCTTTTTCTGATTACCTGTTTACACACTTTTCTGTTTATGAAAACTTAATACTAGGTGTCTTGGTACATTTCTGGTATTCCTTTGGAAAACAGTGGCAAGATCAGAAATAGTGTATAGATTTTTGAGCGTATGCTCGGAACTAGGGATGTACGAAGGCATCGTTTTCTGCCCTGTATTGGTCACGTGCAGCACTGTTTACCTTCTGCTGCAGTTTGTCTTCCACCAAAATCTACATTATCTGTCTCACTGTCTGCTGTGGTAAAATTATGAAACTTGTGTCATTTATGTAATTAATTATGCAAATCACATGGTCATTATGCTATTCTACCCCAGTCATTTCAAGGCAAATTGGGAGCGGGGCTGTAATCAATTGAATAAACTACTACAACTTGTGTTCCCTGCCGGTAGACCATTAACACATGTATTTCATCCCTGTCCCTGATATTCTGCTGTTTCAGTTGCAGTGATTTCAAATATCACTTCTCTGTATTCTGAATGGGTGCAGTTCACATGCCACTACTTCTTTTCATACCAATCTGTTCAGTTTTAACTGCCTTTCAGGACAATTCTTGCTTACAAAGGATGTTTGAAGTGTACACTAAAGCTGCAAAGTACAGATGCTACAAAGGCACATTTGCAAAGTAAACACTTTTCAGGGGATTATAACTGGCTGAAGCTCCATGTTGTGTACACTTGGTAGCAAAGTCAGGTCTGCCACTAGCCCAAACCATGCATTTGTGCTCCTATGCTCATCAGCATGGGAGTGCGGATGTACCAAATAGTGCCACCTTCTTGTCTTCATGTGAACAGCACGACTGTCACTATAGAGGCTTCATGCGTACAGCTGTGTGCTTGAAGGCTCCACCATTACAAATGCTAATGCTCCATGTGAAGACTGGATGACTTCCTGTTCCTGTCCAGATGAACACAGGAGCAATAATGTCTGTACAGGGCTTCTCTGTCTTGCACAAAGCACCTTCCTGAGCTCCTCGGTCCAATGCCAGGATTCAGAGGGAAGAAATCAACTCCTCCCCTCCAACTGACTTAGAAGAGGGTTGTCTCTCTCAGTTGCCTCAATATCAGAAACTTATGGGAACAGCTGAAGGTCACGTGACCAAACTGGCTTTGCTGATATTTCTGAGTTTAATTAATAAGACCACAGCAGTATGTTTTTGCTTGCTCTTCAAACAGAAAAAATCCTGCATCTGTCTCAGCACAAGGGCTCCAACCTAAAGGATCACAGGCTAAATTGTTATTTCCTTTGGCATTTTGCTCTCTGCAGCTGCTCCACCAGCGGAGTCTGCTGCCATTGTTGCAAAACAAACACATTGATACTCACAATTAAAACCAGTTTCAAAATGGACCTTAACTCCATCACAGAGTTTGTGTACAGGGAAGCACTGCATCTGATGTATGCAGCCACTCTGCAGGGAGCCTTTGTCACAGGTATTTGTTTTCGATGTGCTTGCCCAGCGTGATGCTCAATTTGAATTCTTCCCCTTAACACACAGCAATGGACAATCCCTCTCATTTCACTTCAGGCTCTTTTGCAAAGGCTGGATGGCACTGCTGGAAGCTAATCAGCATGATTTTTTTTACACTTCTCAGGGACCTCTTGGTAATCATTGTCATAATCATCCTTTCTAAAGGGGGCCCAATGTACTCCTAAACTCTGCAATGGATTATACTCGGTGAGTCATAGGGAGGGAAATAACTGCCTCTGCCAATACCTGTTTTGTTGTTTTCCCCCTGAATTCCACAGCTACCTGAGAGACACAGAAATAATCTGGCATTATGATTTTTTAACCCGCTTTAAAAAGTGCCCTTCTTTTTACTCTTAGGACAGATTTCGTATATGCAAGCGTCAGATAGCTTAAGCAATAAGAGCAATTCACATGACGCCTTGAATCCGCTGACAGATCAGTTCAGATCTAATCCACATTTAATTTCACAGTTGAATAAAAGAATTTTATTCTTTCTCTTTCGCCCTAAAGACTATGTTGCATATAATAAATCCCATCTGGAATGAGGTGGTTAGAATCTCTGGCAAGGAATATCTTCATGTAGCAGCTGCAGCTGAAACCTATGCATTGCCACCATAAGTTGACATCACTATACTTGCTGAATGCATATTTTGATGTGAATAAGGGTGTGCACCCCTTTTTGGGTCTTCTAGTTGTTATGTACAAGCAGAGCTTTGGTCAGGGCCCATTTCTAGGGGTAGCCAATGTGCCATCCAGATGTTATCAGATACAACTCCCATAATCTCAGACCATTAGCCATCCTTTCTGGGGCTGATGGAAGCTGGAACCCTACAACATCTGAAGAACACCACCTTAGCCACCTCTGCTGTAGACATAACTGAGTGTGTGTGCTTAGTCACTCAGCATTTTCTAACTTCTGGAACCAGCAAAACTTAAAGTTCTAGTATTCTCGGAAGGTGGCAGCCTCAGTCAAGACAATCACTTTCTTGTTCGTCGTCCCATAATTGAACCCCTCATCGGACTTGAATATGGTCTCTTCCATGGGAATTGAAAGCTTCTTCCTTGTTCAGTGTTGCTTCTCTTAAGCAGAGTGCACTAACACAGATTGCCACCCACCCATAATTCAAATAAAATTGCTTAATGTATTCCACTTACCCCGGGCTCACAAGCTAAATCCAAATCAGGGGTCTTTCTCTGGAGGATAAACGGCTTTCCTTCCACTTTTCTCTCTCCTTCTTCCCTACAAGGGTCTGAAGGGCAAACCCATTAAGATGTCAGATCTTCTCCTCCTCACTTGCCTGCCTATGATAACTGGCACCTCATGGCATATGTCTGAGGAAGAGTGATTTCTTCCGAGCATTTACTGAGAAGAGATGCAGTGATTTATTCTTATTAGTTGGGAGGCATCTATAATTCTGTACAGCACACAATCACATCCAACCTATGGAAAATTGTAGGTCGCAACAATACATCCCTGTTTGTGATAACGGGTCATCTATGCTTCTTATCTGTGCAGGTTGGGTGTCAGATGTGTGCCAGGTGCTGTGCAGGACCCCAAAGCGCTACAGTCTTAGAAGAGACTTGAAATTCATATTACACAGACAGGATAAAGGCAAAGGGAAACAACAGGGTTTGTCATGAAGGAACAAAGAGATGACACATGTACAAGATCATTGGATACAGATTAGTTATTATTTAGCTATCCTATCATGGTGGAACCATGGTTTTTGTTTTGTGAACCACCCTGAGACCTCCGGGTATAGGGCAGTATATAAATTCAATAAACAAATTAAAAATAAATAAATAAATAAATAAATAAATAAATAAAGCCATGGTGGTTACAGAGTAGAACCAAGGTGATAATCTAATCAGGTGTGGAGAACCTTTGGCCAGTGGTTGTTGAATGACAAGTCCCATCAGACCCAGCAAGCACGGTAAGTGACCAGGGATGATGGGAGCTGTAGTTCAGCAACATCTGGAGGACCAAAAGTTCTAATCAATTGTTTGATGTGAATAGGACCACAGGAGGCTGCCTTATCAGACTGGCTGCCTCAGGGGTAGTCAATCTAGCATACTCCAGATGTTATTGGACTCCAAATTCTCATCACCCCCAGACAGCTTGAGCAGTGGTCAAAGATTATGAAGGTTACAGTCCATTGATATCTGGAGGGCTTCATGTTGTCTTTGCTTGTCTCTTCTAACAGCTTTCCAGTGTCTCAGGTAGAGGACTTTCATCTCAGGTGCTACCTGAGACCCTGCTTTTTTAGATGCCAGGGATCAAATCAAAGGCCAGCAGAGATCATGTGACACAAAGAACCAATAAGATCTTAAAGCTGCCAACCGTGGCCAAGTCTAACTTGTTGTTTGGGTGCCAACCAATATTTCTAAATGAGATAGCTTGTCTAATCCTGCTGGCGGAAGAATCTGCTTGCCATCTGGCCCAACCCTGACAACGTAGCCCTCACCTGTTGATCCAGTACAGCTGGCCTTAAAGAGACAGAAATGATATATACTATATCCTACAGATATCTTGTTGCAGTGAAAGCCTGTCCCAAAGACAGGCATAGGCCTGAGGAGATCAGGTGTCTAAGAAAATTAAGTAAACTCTTATTGTGTAGATGTAATTCAGGTGCTTCAAGTCCTACCCACATATGCAGTGAATGTAGGGAACTTGCTTGCCATTTGTCTGTCCCATTTGTCCATAAGAGAAATAGAGGAGATGACTGCAATTTGGTCTTGTGTTCCAATACGTTGCCTCTCTCGCTGGGGTTGAGGGTACAAGAAGATGTTACCCACTCACACACCTCCTGTTTTTCTAGGGATGTTAAGAGGGGTGTTGTTAAGTGGACATGTTCCAACTGTTTCAGAACTTTTTTCTTCTGCCGGTTACAAATATTCCTGCACTTGATGACCTGAATTGGCTGCTGGCTGCTCCCAAAAGTGTCACCTGAAGTTTTCCCAGTGATAATTTTCTGCTCTGTGTCTCATTCCCCCTAGTATCCTCCTGTACGTTAATTCATAAAGTTAAACAATTACCTCATGCGTAATATGCTATAATTGAACTGAATGGTTCACCGAGCCAAGCAAATGCAGATGAGGTTGGACCAAGTGCATCTGAATCTGAACTATACAATAAAATAAGTGTAGCACAGTCCAAGTGCTCTTGGAATGCTGAAGCTGCAGGAAATGGAGTGGTGTGAGCTTGCCAGACACAGGCTGCTTCTTGTCTTGGATATATATATATATATATATATATCACCTTCTCCACACTCACTGAACCAGAAAACTGCGGGATTGTTTAATCTCAACGATGACTAGTGGAAATGACAGACTGGTTTTGCATTTCGTTTTTCACCTCAGCAAATATCAATTTATCATTAAATTCTGTTGTCATAATTTCAACATTTGCTGCATTGAGCCAAATATAGGTTTATTCCTGTGCACATTAATAAATGTCAAATTAACATAAATAGAGGGGGAAAGACATATTTTTTGTAGCTAGTTTTTAAAATAAATAAATAAATAAGATACATTGCCATTAAAACACCAACCATTATATCTTGACATGGTGTTTTTGTTTTTATACCAATGTCTGGAAATATTATTTACAATATTTCAGTTTTTGAATTTCTGCAGCTGTGACATTAATCCAATGTTCAAGATGACATTTTTAACAAGGGACTGGTTAGCTGTCTGTATGTACTTACCTAAGGTTGCAATCATATACTGTACTCGCTTGATTGGGAGGAAGCTCCATTGAACTCAATGGGACTTACTTTTGAGTAGGTATGTATAGGATTGCGCTGTTAGAAACTGCAGAAAGAATAGAGCTCTGTCCTACAGAAGAGTAAAAACAAGTGCAGCACATTTTTAGTATTCTGTTTAAAAGCAAAAAAAATTATGGTTATTGGATTTGTTTAACTGGAATACCTGGCTGGGATTTCCAGGAATTGTTCATTAGGCCATATTCATGAGTATGAACAGATTATATTTTGTGTATAAGACCACACATGGGAGATACTCATATAGTTCTACTGCCCAAATCCCAGAATGACACAGAGAAAAAATGTTTCTCCGACTCTGTAGCTTATATAGGGCTGAATATGGTTTTTCAAATCAGTATATCTTTCCCCCTAGTATAGTTGACTTCCCCAAAGCCCATCTTCTCCACTGGGTAAGACAAGGGATGTACAGTTCAGTCAATCCCCGGTCCATGTCAATTCTGCATCTGTTCATTAATAAGTCCTATCATCCTGTTGCTGCATTACAGAAATCTGCACAGAAATTGCATATCATATAAAAACTTATACATATTTATAAATGCATTTCCACCCTAATATATGCATTTTATACATTTTGGCACTTTTTTGATCTGAGAACTGTGTTGCAAAATTCAAGGAAGTGCAAAATCCAAACGATAATTGCATTCTGATACATGTATTAATCCAGGAGACGTGAATTGGTTTGATTCACTTAACATTTTTTCCCTGCATCCCTAGGGGGAGACTGCCATGTTTCTAGCTGAGGTTTCAGACGAACAGGAAATGAGTAATTTCCTGAAGGCTAACAGGAAATTCTATATGCCTATCGCCACCTAAGTGCTTATGTATATATTAGTGTCTATGAACTGTTAGCATCAGAAATGTATAAATTGAAATGAATTGTTATTTTTAGAATCAGAAGCTGATTCATTGAAACTTCTATTCTGGAACCAACGTTTTATTCTTTAGTGGAATCACATTGCATATTAAAATGTGTGTGTGTATTTATATGTATATGTGTAAATATATAAACACACACATGCACTTAAGTAGGACTGAACCAGTGTTCCAGTTGGGGCTGTGTATCTGCTGGGCCCACTATGGCTAAAGCTTGGAAATGTGCTCTTCATAGTGCCACATCTGCAAACTGGCAGCTTCTCTGCCTTGAATTAATAACCAGACTTACCTCATTGTTTATTCCCTCTGCCACTTTGCATAACGCCAGTATGGCCTATATTTCCTAAGGGTGACTGGGGCGTTGCAACGTTTCCCAGCCATACTTCTAAAGGGGCACTGGGTATGTGTTGCTGGATGATTTAGCCATTGAGTTTGGGTGCCCAGTCAAACAGAGCATGTTCTGTTACTTTTTTAAAATAGATGGCAGTTCTGTGCATCCAGAACAAGACATGCTGAGTTATTTAAAACGCCAGCATGTGACCATTTTGAGCTAAATTAACGCTGCAAACCTTTATTCAACATTAAATCAAATCACTGTTAATTTTGGAACTAATTAGCATTTCAGGCTGTTTTCATCTCTGCAGTGTGATGATTTTGTATATAATGCTACGTGATTGTGCAGAAGTACATAATTATCAAGCGGAATATATTGTCTCCTGCTGACATCTCACAAAAGGAGATTCTTCTAGTGCAGGATGTTTGCAGCATCTCAATTCCTTTTTCGTTTCATTTTTTTTTGAAAAAAGAAAGCAAGGGTATAAGTCTAATGGGTGAGGGAGCTGCTGGATTTACTGGTCCTAGTTCTGCTTCAATTAAATACTTAACACAAAGGTTTCATTTGATGCTGGTCACATAAACTGAGGTGAGGAAGATGCTGTGAGAGAAATTGTAATTGTAAGGATTCTGCTCTTTAAATTCTAAGGAGCCTGCACTGGACGAAATCTGATAGACTTGCATAAAGCTTTGGGGTTGTGTACAGTTTTGGTCTCCCCCCCCCCCCCGTCCCTTCCAGGTAATTAATATTGAGCAAAATACCTATGTAGTCATGCGTGGTTGAATGATGCCTTTAAAACATGAGTGATAGTCTGCCCTGGGGCTTGTTTTGTGTTCTATGCAGAAATGCCATTTCAGGGTTCATTAAGGGAAAGAAAGGAGATTTTTGGTATGGCAAAGTCAGGATATTAAAAAGCCACCCTTGGATATACTCCAGTAGTATCAGCTTCATTGAACACAATGGGACTTACTCCTGATGAGTCACAAGCTGTAAATAGAAAAGAAAGAGTTGCATATTGTTGGATCATTTGTATGTATGTGTTTAGATATCTCACAATAATGAGACCTATAGATGCCCCGGGAACATAACTGAACATAGTCTGAAACTATGGGAGCAAGCCCCATTGAGCACTTTGGGGCTTGTCTCTGAGTAGTACTGAACTGCCCTGATTTCCAGAGAGGTTTCCATGTTAGTGTATTGCAAGAAAAACAAGCCAAAAGCTTATGCCATGAGAAATGTTTTAGTTTCTAAGATGCCACAAGACTCTCTCTTGTTTTAATTTTGGTGTTCATCAAAACAAACATCCTGGCCTACCTTTCACCCTGGCATTTTTCCAGCTGTTTCTCCTGGACCATCACAACATTTGTTACCCTAAAATCTCAGGGCCAAGACAATCTTCTGTAAATACGACGCAGGAAGAACGATTGTAGGAGTTGGTGAAACAATGAGAGACAAATAGAAAACTTAATATGGTACCTATTGATCAAGTACATATATACCTTTTGGATCAAGTGTCTGTTTGATACTGTGGGTTAAGGACTTGACTAGATTTGTTGTTGTTGTTGTTTAGTCGTTTAGTCATATCCGACTCTTCGTGACCCCATGGACCAAAGCATGCCAGGCACTCCTGTCTTCCACTGCCTCCCACAGTTTGGTCAAACTCATGCTGGTAGCTTCGAGAACACTATCCAACCATCTTGTCCTCTGTCGTCCCCTTCTCCTTGTGCCCTCCATCTTTCCCAACATCAGGTTCTTTTCCAGGGAGTCTTCTCTTCTCATGAGGTGGCCAAAGTATTGGAGTCTCAGCTTCAGCATCTGTCCTTCCAGTGAGCACTCAGGGCTGATTTCCTTAAGAATGGATAGGTTTGATCTTCTTGCAGTCCATGGGACTCTCAAGAGTCTCCTGCAGCACCATAATTCAAAAAGCATTGACTAGATTACTGAAGTCTTAACATTGTATTTTTCTATGCTCTTGCACTGAATGACTGACTTCAGCCTAGCTATGTGAACAACTTTTATTACATTAGTCCTTAGACCATAGCAGTGTCTAGCCATGGATGGATATTTAAAGCCATCTTGGCAAAGGGAAGATGGCTGGATACTACTAACATAGAATTACATAAACTTCATACGGTGTGTGGGATGTATGTGTAAATGTGATAACTAGAAACCCTGGAAAACTGACTTTCGACCAACAAGTCATGTTCAAAGTTAGTGTTCTAAAATCCATGCTTCCAAATGTTAGCAAGGCCTTATATTGCTTGGCAGTGGGAGTGGCCTGGGGGGTTATTAGATATTTCCTGTGCTTTTTCCCATCCCCAGAGCCCCCACTTGATTTTCTCCACAGTGGCACTTCTTTCTATGCAAACTTTGTGAAACATCATCTCCATTAATTCAATCAGCTGAAAGCAGAAGTGTAGTGAAAATCTAATTCAGCTCAAGTCTTGCTAATTATACCCTTTGCTATTTTTGCACACCAGCCACATTCCAGTCTTGTCCGTGTTTGTATGCCAAAGACACTTCCAATGTCTGCCCTAACAAATGCACCTCCGGGAGTTATAATTTTTGATGCCTGGTGCAGACAAAATGGCTCTGGATCTAGAGAAGATAGCATTTCTTTCTTGTGTTTCCTGTGCTCTGTTAAGGATCGTGTTAGGGAAAGGGAAAGATCAGGGCGATGTTGCTAAAAGAGAGTAAAAAGGAGAGCACAGATTTGCATCCCATCTGCTTGTGTTGATTTATAAGTATAGATGTAAATGTAGAAAAGATTGCCTTAACTGAAATGGAAATACAATACGTCTTAACAGGTGACCTCCTGTGTATGCTTGATTGTCAGGTACTAACTGTTGACTGGCAACTTCAAGGCCCCTCCCCTCCCTTCTTGTGTTTCTTTGAACCAGACTTGGACCAGAGAGACCTTCCAATAGAGGACTTTTTCATGTGCAGAAGGACACATGGCCATCCTAGGAGAGAATGTAATATATGGAATCAAGGCAGGACTATGTGCCAAGTGGATGGAGGAGAGAATGTGACCATGAAGGTTACGTATTGATTCCCAAGCCCCTCACTCTTTTGTGAAAGTTTATCCTTCTACCAACCTATTCCATGCTGAGTAGGGGGAAAGGTAATGAGTGAGAAGTTTAGGACCCAAGCATGCAATGAGAAGGAACTGACCCTAGAGTTCTCAGGTATCAACCTCTTGGCCTGTAAGCTCATTTGAATGAGGAAAATAAGGAAGTTAAATCATAGATAATGGAATGTTTTTCTGTTCTGGGCAGCCTTCTACCTGAGGAGAAGGGGCTTTAAAAGTGTGCATCTGGCTGGCTGACATGATCTGCACTTTCAGTGGATCTCAGATATCTTTGAGAATGCAGGACTTTGAAGGCACTGACTGGGTCTACTGGCAGCCCCCACATCCAATGGCTCTCTGCTGTCCCTTCTCAGGCAAGGAGGCTCCCTAGAGCTGGACAGCTCTTGCCTAAGGAGGGAGGTCTTTGCAGTTATGGGCCGAGTTACCTGACAGCCATGACAGTGACTTATGGATGCAACACATTTCCAGAATGTTCTTGTTAGGAACAAGTCTGATTTAGACTCCGCAGGAATCTCACTTGAGGACAGGGCTTGGAAACCTGAAAAAAAGCCCCAGCACACCTGAAGAACTCATTAAGCAGGCTGACTTACCCAGTCACCCAGCACAAGCTCATATATTGTACCATAAATATAGGCGTGTCAATTTCACCTCTGACCCCAGGAGTCAAAGCTGGATCTGGTGGGAGTGCTTGTTTTGCTGTAAGGAGGCTCCAGGATCATAACTATACTCGGAAGTAGAGGCTTTGTCAGGACGTAAAGGTGGCACTAAGTGTATCTGGTAGCTTACCTAATGAACAGGAAATTGAGGATCTGTCTGCAGTTGCCTAAAATAGGAAAAGGTGGAGCTGGGTGTACTTGCCTGAAAATCGCTAGAACAATAGCTCTCAATATGTTTCTCTTGGGTAGACCTATGGGGGTTGTCTTTAGTACCAGGTGTCCCTTGATTAGAGCTCATTTATCTCTGAAGTTGCCTTCACCACTGTGATGCAGTCACCACTACATCACTGTTTTGATCTCAGCATGTGCAGTTCCTGATAGAAGGAACTGAGCCTGGAAAGCTCCGCGGAATTTCTCCACTATGTCAATAATGATTGCTGGATCAGCCTGTAGTACAAAATAAGGGTAAGCTCAACACTGTCTGCTCTTTCCCCCTCTTCATCTACCATCTTGGATCTGAGGACGGTGCAGCTGATGTTGTATAAGCCTGTCCTCCTTCCTCTTTCTCCTCCCGCAGATGTGCCAATTACTGTACCCTCTCATTATGATATCAATGTCTTTTTCTGGTGTCTGTGAGATTGGCAGGCCATGGGCACCTGAGATATACTCTTAGTAGTGACAGCAGCAGCATCTACAAAGGAACACCTCTGCACTTGCTAGCTGGTGCAACATGTGGAGTTGGGTGTGGCATGCTAAGCTGTTTCCACATGGGCAGGAAGGAGAAACTGCCTGAGCACCACTGACTGACACATGCCATTCATCTGTTCTCAGAAATAAGACCATGATATGTGCAAGTAATGAGGATCAATATATGACATCCTTTTGCGAGCACCAAAATATGGATAGGTTAATGCAGGGCAGGTAGTATAGCAAGACAAATTTTGGATGCAGATGGGCAGGGTGCTATACCATCTTGCTGTACAAGTATGTCCGAGAAAAGGTTGAGGACAACAGAGCTGATGTATACACCATACATTTTAAGCACATTATTTTCCTCCAAAGCATCCTGGGAGCTGTAGTTTGGTAAGGATGCTGGGAATTGTAGCTTTGTAAACAACAGTTCTCAGGATTATTTGAGGGAAAACAATGTGCTTTCGGTGTGCATTGGAAGTGTGGTGTATATGCAGCCTAAGTGAACATGAAGTTGTGTCCTAGTTGCGTTAGTGTGAATACGGCCATACGTCATCGCTGTCTTATAAAGCAACTGAAGAATTTCTTTCACTGCCATGTTTGAAATAATTACCTTTCATTATCATTAAATAGCAAGGAGTCTCCCAATTCAAAACTACTCACAGTAAAACCAGCTCCCTTGGAACCCTCTTTTCTTATGCCAGAGATACAGACATTACTGCAGCATTTAACAGACAATGCATTTTACGGGGAGAAATTAGAAAGGGCAATAAGAAATCAAGAAAGCATCGAATTTCTTCCTTCCTTGCATAATCAAAATCCTGTCTCAGGAATCCCTTAGTCTGCTTAACTCCATTGCACTTGAGGAACATTCCAATCTTATTCCGTTACAAATGCTGCTTGGTTGTAAATGAGTGTTTTAATTTGTGGGATGAGAACCCCAGCCAGCAGAGCACGTTAACGTATAACAGCTCTCCAGCAACAAAACCAAGCAATTACCTTGAACACTAAAGAATACATTTGTGAATTTCTCCAAGGGCTTGTTCATATTAGACGTTGTCACCACCCGAGAAGGGAAAGTGATGAGGCAAACTCCCTTCCCCTATGTCCTCCTCCTTCCTTTGGCTAGTATTTCAGGGTGGGGTGAGATATGCTTTTGGAGAAGAAAAACACCACCTGCAGGTAAGAGCTAAATTGGAACTTTATTCAGTACATGGAAAAGAACAAGTGCTTTTTCAAAGCATTTGAATTCACTCCTATTTAGTTATCTTATAAATTGAGGCATAAGATCATACGACTTTGAAATGAAATAGCTCAAAAACTTATGGGCAAGGGAGAAGGTGGAGATTATGTGCACAGTTCATCACAAATCACCTGGTTTCTTGATATAATGTGTTTGTGGAGGTACATGGACAGATGGTGTTCTCTCTGGATGAAGGACATAGCCAAGCACTCCACTTTCTCTCTTGGGCTGCATTTGACTGCACATGTAGTGAATAGGTAATCTATGAGCACAATTCAGAGCCCTCTAGGCTATGCACCTCAAGTATGGAACTCATCCAGATGCAGGCCCTTGCCTATGCTCAGTGCATATTTACCTTGAGAGCCAAAGTGATGCAGTTGTGCAGTACTTGTGTGCACCTCAGGAATGAAGTGGGCACCTCGCCATGGTGGTCATTCTTCTCCAGTCTTCATGTCATTGTTCTCACAATGCTTCTGAGGAGCCATTTGCTACATATGTGTGGTACAATCTGGGCTGAAAAAGAAATGGTGCCCTTTTGCATTTCTCTTTCACATCAGCTAATACAATGATTCCTTTGCATGAATTCGCATAACTATCTACACAAATTCTCTACACTTTTTGGCAGGGGCAACCCTCCTCATGGAACGGCCTCCCATCAGATGTCAAGGGGATAAAGAACTACAAAACTTTTAGAAGACATCTGAAGGCAGTCCTGTATTGGCAAGTTTTTTTAAAAAAAAATGTTTGATGTTTTATCATGTTATACTGTTGGAAGCCACCCAGAGTGGCTGGGGCAGATCTAATGGATCTGAGCCAAACTTAAAAGCAGGTTTAAAAATGTCCTAGGTGCCACAAGAATTTTGGGCAAGAAATTTGCCACCCCTGTTCTGAGCTGTTGTTATTTATGTATTTGATGCTGCTTTTATAGAATACGCATATATTTTCTTGCTGTTTTAAATCATGTTCTTGTCAAATCAAATTTTCTTGTTTTTATTATATATCATTACCTCATTAACTAACCATTTAAAGGGGGGTAAAATAATAATAACTGACCAAAAGAAAACAAATATAATAGGGCCTTACATCATCTGGATTTTTAAAAAAGCAATTAAAGGTAAAAAGCAAAGTATCAACTCAAAATAAGAGTTTACAGGCTTATCTGTAGCTTTGAGAGTAGCTGTAGAGTGTGTGTGTCATGTGTGAGTTTTAAACCCTTCTTTTTGCCTATACAGTGGACGCTCGGGTTGCGAATGCGATCCGTGTGGGATGCACATTCGCAACCCGCAGCGTCTGCAACCCACAGCGGCGCATCTGTGCATGCGTGGGTTGTGATTCGGTGCTTCTGTGCATACACAAAGCACGATTTAGTGCTTCTGCGCATTGCACGACCGCCGAAACCCGGAAGTAACCCATCCAGGTACTTCCAGGTTTCTGCGGTCCATAACCTGAAAAAACGCAACCTGAAGCGTCTGTAACCCGAGGTATGACACACACACACACACACACACACACACACACATTTGCTTCACTTGCCTCTCAACTGGAATGCCAATAATACATTTTAATATAGTGCTGCCACACTGGTTGAGGCTTGACAAAGTTTCCACTGAGAATTCATTTCTATAATTGAGTCAATGAATAAGAACAAAAACTCCTCTTTCTTATGAAATATTTCTACTAAACCTTTCAGTCTTTTCCCCATCTTGCCCTCATAAATCTCTGTCTCTGACAATCTGCACTGAAACTAACCTTTTTTAGTGACTAGATCTTTTGTTCTTGCAAATCCCATATAATAATAGGCAACACACATTGCTCAGATTTGGGTTTATCAGAAACATCTTGGGAAAACACTACTCTTTTTCAATAAATTCATTCTGATTTCGCCCCAAACAACTTCTTACTATGGTATTGGAATTTTTTGTTTTTCCATTAGTTCCCAGGCTACTATATTGTTTCTGTGCATTTTTATTTTGTGCAATATAAAAAAATGTGTTTGCTTGCTTACAATTCCCTCTGGTGTGGAACACATTTAGCTGCATTTTTAAGGTCCAACCATTTTAAAAATCCAAGAGAAACTGGGGAAACACCTGCATTGGTGCTTGTCTACAAAATGCAACTCTGAGGTTTTAGAGTACAATCCTCTGGCCACTGTCTGGCAGGGCTGAATGGAATATGCATGTAGAAAAGGGCAACCTGGTGCTGGTGCAGTAACTGGGCCTGGATCAAGCCCAATGCTGTCATCTGGCCAGTTCAGCCTCTTCTGACCCTTGGAACACAACATTTTTGGACTTTGCATTTTTGCCCACCCACAAATTTAGTGGCTGCAAGGGGAAAATTGGCACCAACAGAGTGATGCACTAATCCAGTGTCAACCAAAGGTGAGCTAGGTGGAGTTTTTCTACCTCTCTCAGAATACAAGAGGTCTCTAAACCACCCATCATTTAATACACCTCTATCATGCTTCCCATCTCTTCCCTTTTTGAAAAACCAACCCCCATACTGAAACATTGTAACTTTCCCTCATAAAGGCGCTTCTTCCACCCATTGATCATTTTGATTGCCCCTTTCTCAGGTAGGAGAACAAGGAAACCCTCTTCCAGGGATTCAGGAAACACTCTCTGCCCCCCAGAGCAAACACCACTGGGCAAAGTTGTCTGACTTAGTTTAAGACAGCTCTCTGTCTTCCCTACTGTGTTATAAGCTTAAGTCATTTGCACCTTATTTCTAGAGACTAGATCCTGGAAATATGTTTTGCATGCAGTATTTTACAACACCCTTACAATGTTCATGCTACGTCCAGCAGTATCACATAATCTCCACCCACCCAATATGAAATCTGTGTAGTAGCTGTAACATTTCCCCGAGCACATTGCAGGTGTGCAGACTTGAAATCTAGGTCACTACATGATCTATGTCATAAATGATTCTTTAATCTGAGCACTGTGTGAGCCTTGATAAGATTTGCTGCCTGGAATGCAAGTTTAAGGAAACAAAGGACAAAAGAAAAATCAGAATCAGACAAACCTTTTTATTTAAAAAAATGCTGTTAATTGAGGATATGTTCTCTCTTTTCAAGGGAACTCAATAAAATAGAATACTGAAACAATGTAACATGTCTGCATGAATGAATTAGCATAACAAAGCGTTTTAAATCAGTTGCATATTAACACTTGCAGAAAAAGCCTGATTCTGCAAAATGACCCAGCCTTAGCCCTCATCATTGTGTAATTATAATTACCCCCATTACACAATTGCTCGGAAGTAGGGACATATTTCGGGCATGCTGCTAGACCACCTCTGGGCATCCACGCCACTACAGTGAAGAAGCCAACATGTTAGTAGCTACTTACACATAGACGTATGCATGACTGGGACTCTGGTGTGACCAGGTGTTCCAAAAATTGGAATGGAGTCCGGGGTGAGCACTTGATAATGTGTACGTTATAGACACCAAGTTATAGACACCAAGTGATTGACCAAGATCACAAGATCTGCTGCTCTTCTTTGTTGATTCCAGGCAACAAGTTATCATCTGACAACATTTTCTTCTTCTTCTTCATCATCATCATCATCATCATCATCACCATCATGATCTTTTCTTTGTACCACACCCATCTGACTAGCCACTCTGGGCAGCTTTCAATAGAATATACAAAAAACATAACAGAACACCAAGCATTTAAAAGCTTCTTCGGTTTTCACGGGCTGCTAGTAAGATAGAAGTTTTGGATATGCTCATTGACTGTGAATAGATCGTTTTCTGACAGTAAGTTAAAGAAGAGAAATACATTGTTTCCATTGTCTCCTTCTGCATTTAAAAAGGAGTAAAAGTAATTGAAAACTGAAACTAACTTTATTGTTTGAACTGTGCTTAAAAGGATTGATACAAATAGAAACTGTTTCCCCCTAGAGGAAGCCTTTGAAATTGTTACAAGAGCTGAGCTGGGGGATTTTCCACCTGCAAGATAAAACTGTGAGAATCTGGGATTGACCTTGGACCGTTAAGAATGTTGACAGAAGAAGCCTTAGTGGTTGCATTATGTAAGATTAATGATTCACTGGAACAGCTTCATAAGTTGCGAGGACTATAAAAATTGATAACTTGGAACAAAAAGTGACTAATTTGGCACAAAAAGTCAATATTAATACAGAAACTATTCAGGAATCGATACAGGGATCTAGTTTGACATGGCAAATTGAGGAGAAGGCAGGGGAGAAAGTTTTTGCTGTGGAACCTAAAGTGACACAAATGGAGAGGGAGAGAGCCCCAGCCTTACAGTTGCAATTTGATGATTATAAGTTGATGCCTTTTAAGACTGAATTTAGAGAAAGTCAGACTTTTAGGATCGGAGCCCCGCTTGGACTGGAGAAAGAAAGTTGGATAGATCCCCTTATGCAGGGGTTTACTGACCTTTGGGACCTGGACTTGGGTCAGGAGGAGACTGGAGTTGTGGGGACTGCCAGACTTGGAGGAACTTTGAAACACGACTGGAAATATCTTTTGCATTTCAGTTCTAACTATGGAGATTTGGCTGACTTGTCGAGAAGGAATAAAATCATTGTTAGATGGGAATTTCCCGGAGATCTACTTTTTAGCATCAAAGGAAGGAAAATAAGAACAAGATCAGGAGAAGACAAAGTAATGTGCATGTATAAATATGAAGAAGACTTGCAGAAGGGACCTGGAAAAGAGTTAAGAGCCTCGGACAGAAGATCACCAGGTTGATGGGCTATATGGAATTGACGGAAATGACTGGCAGAACCCGAGACCAGGGGGAAGAGACGCTGGAAGAATACTGGAAAAAGTTTAAAATCTATATATGGAAATAATGTAAAATTAATGAGTGTTAGAAAAATGTTGGAAGGGAATTATACGGCTTTAGTAGAAATATTTTAAGGAATTAAGTATAAATAAGTATTATAGTATTAATGGAAAATAAGGTTAAAATATGTTAAGATAATTACATGACAGAAAATAGAGAAAGATGGAAAGGATTTGCTGAAACAATTAATAGAAATGGAATACAAAAAGGGAGGTGAGAGGAGGTCGATGAAACAAGGGAATGAAAGAGAGGATATTGAGATGGTATGATGTGTGTTTTTTGAATTGTTTTTGCTCTTGTTTTGTTTAATGTGTTAATGTTAATGTTGCGTTCTGTATTGTTTATATATTGTACTGTATTGTTTTCTTTTTTGCTTTTCTTCTTCTTTTCTTTCCCCCCCTCTTCTTTCTTTTCTTCTTTTTGTAAGGTTTAAAAGCAATAAATATTATTTTTTTAAAAAATAAAAGCTTCTTCAGTTTCCCAAGTGCATGATTTTACACTTTTGACTTTTTGCACCCCCCAAATTCAGTGTCCCCTGCCTGCTCTTCTGCCAGAGGACAGGGCTTGCAGCCACTCCTGTTCTCTGCTCTTGGATCTAGGATACCCACCCCATAACAGAGGAGAGTTGAGGATGTAGAAATCTTAGCAAGCGGGTTGTTAGTCACTTATTCCGCTTCTTTTCAATGCTATTTGGCACTGTCTGTACCTCTTCCAAGACTGTTTTTATACTTCTTCAGACAGGATCTTGAACCATCAAGGTATTTCATTATAGAGACATAGTAAAAAGTTTCTTTAGCTCCTTCAGGTGTCACTGTGATCGATGGCTGTCTTTTTCACACCCAGTTTCAGTATAGAGGCCACAATGAATTTTACATTCTCTGTCGGACGTTCATGATATTTGGTTGGTTGCTTCATGTTTCAAATGCCATTGTTCTATTATTATTCATAGAGTTTCAGACTTTATAGTACCTTCTGGATGAAGATGGCAAAGTACTTTACAGACGTTAAGCCTCACAATATCCCTGTTACGGTTTATAAGTAGCATCATTAAAGCTGGCTTAATTTTTCTACTCTTTTGTGAAAGCGAGTGTGGGTTATTTTACAAGTTCATGGAAAAGCTGAATTTCTGCCAAAACATTTTGAGTTCAAATCACTGCAGTCAAAGGATTGTTTGCATTTCTGCAGAGCAAGAGTTACTGTGAATTTGTTTCTTGTTTAAAACACACACAATACAAAATGTATTCAAAATACTAACTGTATATCAAAAGTCAATTTTAAGGAGAGGAGAGGACAAAAAAGAATATTTTCTTCTAAATAATTTAGATGCTTGCATGCTGCAAAAAATTCTAATAATACCAATAAACTAATTTTGCAATGGCATAGATGACAGCTCAGTTTCCCCCCTGACACACCCAATATAAGGTAGCTAAAGCATTATGCATTTGATTATTTACGAAAAGCCTCCACTATTGTGGGACATCTATCTTCGCACCCCACCCACTGTCATCAACACCCTATCTTTGAAAAGGACAGAGTACATATTCTGCAATACTTTATCCATGAAACATCTAATGTGTCAAAGTCTTTACTTTCCTAATACTTAAATTCAGCCCTGAAGAATTTTTTGATTGCCCAGGAATCTGCATATTTCTATTGCAGAAATCTAGTTCTCCCTGTGTCAGCTAAAGATATATACTGTGCAGCAGTCTCAACTCAGAAGGGACTGCCCCTTGCTTCCGGATTCTCTTGGCCATGATTGACAGCACAGATTACCCGCGCTGTGGTTTGCATTGTTGATTGACAATTGGGTGGGAAGTGGGAGAGTGACTAGAAGCTGGAGCAATTCCAGTTGCTGAGTTATGATGACCGTACTGTCACTTCACATGAAGGATGTATGTCCTCTGATAGAAAACATAGCAATGGAGGAAGTTGCTGTAAGAGATAGCTATCTCATGCTCTGATAAGCATTTTGCTTCTTTCAGGAGTAATTCTTATTTTTATTTTTGCATCAGTGGAAGGCTGCTGCAGCGGGATTTACTGATGCTTTCTAATAGAATTTACTAATGTTTGTAACATTAATAGAACATGTAATAGAAACTGTGTCCAAATTGCCCCCAAATTGCCTTTGTCTACTCTTGGGAGGGTTTTGTCTTCGTGTAACCACCGCATGAAATGTTTGCATACTCCATTTTACAGATTCCAAGTGGTGATTTATACTACAGGGCTGCATATAGGAGGCCAATTTTCACTTTATGAGTAGGTGGTGGTTTTTGTTTTAGATTACCTGGTGGTTTACCCTGGTGGTAGAAAAGCAGGCTATGAATGAATGAAATGAGGCTGAGATACACAATTGTCAACTTTCTCATATTCTAACACCAACCTACAGAAGGAGGAGGTGGGCTCTTGTGGACAGACCTATAGCAGCCCCTCCAGAGAACTAAGCCTCTCCTTTTTTGCCCATTTTATACAGTTTATAGGATAAGATCCAATGTAGCATGAACAAGCAGCTGATTATACAACAAGATTTCTATTTCTCCCCCTTCTTATAGCCCCCTGCTTACCCCCCCCCCCAATCTGATCCAGGGGGTTGAGGGGCCCTTTGGAGGAGATTTTGGGGTGAGGGACTTGGATGGGGAAGAAGAGAAATTGAAAGCTCTGTTGCACAAGCAAGCAAACACCATTGGAAGTTGGCCATATTTTTTTAGCTGAGATGAGGATTTAGTACTAAAGAAAATAAACATGCTTCTTTTTTTTTTAAGGAAGCTGAATTGATCTGTGTATATTTTTAATATACAGTGACTGGAACCCTGACACGATGGTGGATGACTAAACAAATTTCCTGTGTAAAAGTGAAGAAAAGAGCATCCAACGCAGCCCCAAAATAAGCATTCATCTTTGTCACTGACTAACAGGAGTGTGAACAGATTTGATGGGATTTCATCTGCAAAATGTGCTTTTGGAGGTAGGCCAAGATGCATCCCAAAATATAAATAAATCTAGCTTCTTTAGACGTGTGGGCAGTTAGAGCAGAGAAATAAACTGACAGCAGCATTAGTGGGCACCATTACACTATATACACCCACACAGAACAGATTAAGCTTCGGATTTTCTTCACCATGTTAAGTCCTACCTTGTTTGCTCACTAGCAGTCTTAATATATGTGAGAGCCTGTTGAAATCCACAACTTGGTCTAAGCATACATTTTAATCAGAATGGGGAAACGAAGGTGTTGTTATGGCTGTAGGATATGGGATGTTATCACGATTTGTCATCTTTCTGTGGTGAGCTCAAAGAGGCTATGCTGTCCTGCTGGGGCTCAGGACTTGCAGGGAATGTGGAAGCAATGAACAGGTCAAGTCCAATCAAAGTACAGTCTCTCTAAGCAGGTCAAGACCTTGGGCAGCTCCTAGCTGTCCCTGCTGGCTGAGCTTTAGGAGATATTATTCTATCAGGCAAGTGTGTGCTGACAAAGCTACATTAAATTCTTCTTAATGTCACTGCCGAGAGCTAGGAACACCTGAGGCCTTATGTAGGGTTTGCATGGTCTATCCAGCAAGTGGCCCCACCTGTTTGCAGAAATGGCCAAGTTTATTTAAAGGGCCCTTTGATTCTGCCAGTGTAAACTTCTATGCTGGGAAAAGGATGGGGAAGTTATTTCAGGACTTGTCCTCTGAGCTGAGTGTGCTGGTCCCGGGGGTTAAACAAGAGGCAAGTTCCAAGTCCTGTCCGTGGTCGATGAAGCAATATGAAGGCAGTCCGTAAAAGTCGAAGCTGGGTGCAGGGCAGGGTTCAGACAGGAACTGACAACCATCAATGTTGCTCCCGCAACTTGGGACTGGGGCTGGCTGGCTTTTATCTGCCCCGAGGCATAGGGCGGCCCCAATCCTCAGGTGACTTGCCTCTCCTGGCCTGGAGGTGAGCACTCCTCCTGCGGGAACTAAGTTCCCTCCGCCTCTCTGCCCTGAGCCTCTGCAGCTCAGGAGAGGCTGGAGGGTTATCAGACCCAGAGGCAACCCCAGCTTCCTCTGAGGGGGCTGAGAGTGGAGCACCTGCAGGCAGTGGGTCCTCCATCGCCTCAGGAGTCAGAGCAGACTCAGCTGGTGCCTGCCCCTGAGGATCCAGCACAGGTGAGGACCCTTCAGGGTCATGCCCCAACCCCGGCTCAGCTGGTTCTGGAGGCAGGGGATCCTGTGTAGGCTGGGATTCCTCAGGTTCAGCATCTGAATCCGAATACCAGGCCATCACACTGAGGAAGGTGGGACAGCTTTGTTCTCAGGCTGGGAGAACCTAGCAGGAGCTGTCAAGAGTATAGTCTCCCCATGAGTGGACCAACCTAAATTTCCTCCTCATTTTGTTGCTTTGGGAAGTATGAATGTCCAGCTTCTGAGGTCACGACTGAGGTCTCTGTCTGCACTTCCCCAGCTCCCAGCATGTATAACAGAATACATTTTCTCTGGAAAGCAATGGTCCTGCAAATTTTATGGAAGCCTGTTCCAGGCTGCTCCAGACAGACTCCAGGCATATCTAAGCCAAGCAGGCTCTATGAAGCACTCCAAACTGAAACAGGGACCTTTGAAGTGATTTTAGAACTATTTATCTGTAATTTGGCTAGGAACACCTTTCTCATGTATTGTGTCTTCATGCAATTGTCCACAAAACAGTTGGGGAGAAGAAGTGAACCTTGTTTTAACCCCTCCCAAACTGTATGGGCTGCCCATTCAGGAAAACCACTAGAAAACGCTATATAATAGACATTGGAAAATTTGTTTATGTATTTGCTGTTTATTATTCAATGTCTATAAACACAAGGAAGTTGCTTAGGACCTCAGATTGGTTGTGTATTCTGCTTACTGTTCTGTTGATTGGTTTGTAAGGATTCAAAATTAAGTTAAACAAAGAAAGTATCCAAAGTGTACATCAGAATAACCTTTTGAAAATTAATTTCTAGCATTTTATATCTGTGCACTGAGCTGTATATTTAGAATGATGGGGAAAGGGTGGCATTCAGTGACCTGACTAATATTTCCATCAGCTGCAGCCAGCATGGCTAGTGGTCAGGAATGATGGAAGATGTAGCCCAGCAACATCCGTTGAGCTGCAGGTTCCCTGTCCCCCTGCCACATATACTCATCTAATAGCAAATAGAATTAAAAGCACTCTGAAGAAAGTTGAAAAGCAGATGGTTGCGGTTGACGTTTCATGCTGCTCTCGGTTTTCTGCTATATTATTTCTCCTTTGTTAAATTGGTGTCTTGCAGCCAATTTAAGATAAGCGGAAGAATGATCAAAGATCATTCCGTGCCTGAAAACCACTTCAGATCTGTTATAGGACATGTGGGTCAGCCCACCGGCACTAAAATGATGCACTGTATCACTTGCTGAAAAACTGATTTGCAATGATTTTAACAGGAAGGGTGTATGGAAGTGTAATCTGTTTTGAGGAATAGGATGTAGCAAGGTTCTATCCTTTTAATATACCAAGCTCTTGAAAACATGGCAAGGAATTAACATTTGGAACACATATTAGGCACAATATATCTTTCACAGCAGGAAGTTATACTGCAATCCTCCTATGCACACTTACCTGGGACTAAGTCCCATTGAACTCAGTGGGACTTCTGTCACTTGTGCTTTATTCAAGATTACAACATCAATAGTAAATTGATGTTTACAACCCATATGTTCCTCTTGCACATCCTTTTTATTCCAATCCAATTATGTTGCTGCTGCTCAAGTGATGATTTATTCCATGGCCAATCACTAAAGTTAGTTTTTTTTTGGGGGGGGGACCTACTTGGTAGGCAGCTAACAGGGCTATAGATCTAGAAATTATTCAGCCAGTTTACAGCCCTATAAATGCACACACAGTCCATTTTTGGGGAGTGCTGGTGGTGATTAGAAACATGTGCAGCCCCACAGATTTGCAACGAAAGGTATTGTTTACAGTAGGGTTCCCAATGGTTTTGGTGCTGGGGTAGATCTGGAAATCCAAGAAGCTGTCATGGGCATCACAATAGACCTGCTTCAGAAAAGAAACTGGTGAAATAACAAAAGAAGGCAGTCTCCCAGAAGAAATTAGGAGTGGCAGGAGGTTTTTGCAGATGCCAAGAGGGTTTTCTGGAGGTGCTATGGTGCCCATGGGCGCTATGTTGAGGACCCCAGGTATATGGCTACTACAGACATTAAATACTTTTTTTCAGATACAGTGGTACCTTGCAAGACGAATGCCTCTCAAGATGAAAAACTCGCAAGACGAAAGAGTTTTTCGTTTTTTGAGTTGCTTCGCGAGACGAATTTCCCTATGGGCTTGCTTCGCAAGACGGAAACGTCTTGCAAGTTTGTTTCCTTTTTCTTAAAACCGTTACAGTAATACAGGGTGCATTGCTTGAAGAGGTGCAGTTGCGACTTGACTTCGGGGAGCAACTCATAGCACGCAGTGTGGTAGCCTTTTTTGAGGTTTTTGAAGATTTTTTTGAAAAAATTGAAACCGTGCTTCGCAAGCCATGTTCAAATATATAAAAGGATGTCACATAGAGGAGGGAGAAAGGTTGTTTTCTGCTGCTCCGGAGAAGCGGACACGGAGCAATGGATCCAAACTACAAGAAAGAAGATTCCACCTAAACATTAGGAAGAACTTCCTGACAGTAAGAGCTGTTCGACAGTGGAATTTGCTGCCAAGGAGTGTGGTGGAGTCTCCTTCTTTGGAGGTCTTTAAGCAGAGGCTTGACGACCATATGTCAGGAGTGCTCTGATGGTGTTTCCTGCTTGGCAGGGGGTTGGACTCGATGGCCCTTGTGGTCTCTTCCAACTCTATGATTCTATGATTCTATTCTAAGACGAAAAAACTCGCAAGACGAAAAAACTCGCGGAATGAATTAATTTCGTCTTGCGAGGCACCACTGTATGAGCCATGCTTTTAGAATCTAAATACAAATTGGATTTCCTTTACCAGATTGGAGAAGTCAACATTGTTTAAGAAATCTGTTCTAAAATACCTTGAAGACTTGTTTGTTGTTGTGTTTTCCAACTGAGTTGAATGGAAAGTAAAAGGTTTGAATTCAGGATGGAGTGTTCCAACTCAAGCCTTTTTTGCATTAGGAATGCTAGTTGGTTGGGTACAGCAAATTTCTTTTGCAGGGTGTGTGTGTGTCCCAGGAGCAACAACAAAAGGAAAACAAGAACCAGAATTCATCACGATGAGCCCTGGAACTAGAAATAATGCACCTGCCAAAGCAGATGGATGGCAGGCAGTCCACATAGATATTAAATATGATTTCTCCCTGTTCTCCACATTCATAGAAACATGTCCCTGTTTATAATACTCAGAATAGTAGTGTGTGTTTCAGGCCCTACTCCGTTTTATGTTTTTCTTGTATTTATTTACTCCCTCCTACATGTACTATACTGGAACAATGCCAACACAGGTTCATTTCTTACTTTAAAAAGAATTCAGGGATGGCAAAAAGTAACAGTTGCGGAGAATAAAAATTTCCAAATATTTATAGAATCGCTTTTGCCTCACTCCCATGACTGCGCATTTCTCCACCTTCAAATACAGTGGTGCCCCGCAAGACGAATGCCTCACAAGACGGAAAACCCGCTAGACGAAAGGGTTTTCCATTTTGGAGGTGCTTCGCAAAACGAATTTTCTATGTGCTTGCTTCGCAATACGAAAATGTCTTGCGAGTTCCTGCGGGGTTTTTTTCCTTCCCCCCCTTTTTCCCAAGCCGCTAAACCGCTTATCAGCTGATGGCTAAGCCGCTTAACAGCTGATGCTAAGCCGCTTATCAGCTGATCGTTAAGCCGCTTATCAGCTTATCATTAAGCCGCTTATCAGCTGATCGTTAAGCCGCTTATCAGCTTATCGTTAAGCCGCTTATCAGCTGATCCACTAAGCCCGCTAAGCCGCTAATACTGTAGCACTAATCCGCTAATGGGCTTGCTTCGCAAGACGAAAAAACCCGCAAGACGAAGAGACTCGCGGAACGGATTCTTTTCGTCTTGCGAGGCACCACTGTAATAGCTTGTTATCTTGCTGTATGGGGGAAGGAGCACAGAGTGGCTCTGCTATATAAAGCCAGCTCAAGACAGATTGCTGCCTGAAGTGTTAGAAAAAATGGCAGCCTCTCCCATTCCATGTAAAGGTGCTGGCCAGACTGGAATGCTGCTTCAGTGGTGGTGAGGGGACAATGGAATGTACTCCATGCATTTATTCCATTAATTCATGAATTTACACTTGTACAATGGTACTTCCCATCCTTTCTCCTCCCCCTGTTTACCCTGCATCCTCATGAAGTCTGCTACAGAGAGCTGGGGGAACCCCTAAGAATAGATTTAGAGGAGACACAGAGGTGGAGAGGGAGGAAAGTTCCATTGCACAAGCAGAAATCCTTTTGTTGGTGGAATGAGTCGCTTAGCACTACTTTGGATGCAACCCAGTGCCTTATACCAAACCTATGAGCAGCTCACACCCACACCATACAGTTAAAGCAGCCTATACCACTTTGTAGCTCTCCTAGCACCCTTAACAAATTATAGATCCATTATTATTATTATTATTATTATTATTATTAGGGGGGGAGCCATTACTATTAAAGTGGCATAAAACTGTTTTAAATATATTGTGTATATGTGACTTTATGAGATGCAGGCCAAGCCCTGTGGCTCTGTCCTCCAACATCTTATTGCTGCCTCTGCTGCCTCAGGTAGCCACTTCAATTTGCCCAGTGAAGCAGAAGAAGAACAATTCTTTTTAGCAGGAGTGCCCTCTTGTGAGAAGTTAGTTCTTCTATTACTGGAACCTGAGAGGAAACTCCTTATAATTTAATCAAGACACTCTGATTCACTGGAAGGGCTCTGCCTTTGTTCCCTCAAAAATAGCCTGTAGTGCTGTGTATAAGCAAAGAACAATTTTACAAACACTGCATTACCACATGAAATCAATAAAATAAATTACTGTTTTTAGCTACGAGATATTCCTACTCATTACAGAGTGTTAAGGAATTCAGCTGTTTACAAAACCAGATGAAGGAAATACAGTAGAAAGAGAAGAGGTAATTCCTCAGTCGTGAGGAAGGTGAAAAAGAATACAAAGTATAGGGTGGAATCCAGTTGGTGCTGCTCTGCTGATGGAAAAGATCTGAAGATGGAATGAAAGGGGACAGTTTCCCACAATCCCTGCTCCCCATCCTCTAAAACAGAGTGGGGTGTGTGGAGGATTATGGGAAGGGAGAGGGAATATTCTTATGAGCAGCTAGAGGGAGGGTACAAACTATGGGTGCATGGCCTGAGGGCCACATTGACTCTTGACAAACCTTCTGGCACATGACAGAAGCAGGTCTATGGCTGTAAGTGTTGTTTTATTTGCATTACAACTTGAAACCAATAAAATAAGCAACTGTTTTCAGTTATGAGGCATTCCTAGTTGTGCCAGAGTGTTAAGGAATGCAGCTATCTATCAAATTTAGCACCATGGGATTGTGATTTGGATTTTCTACTTCAGGCACCAAAATGTCTGATAATAAAAAAGGCATTCTACAAAATGATGTGTGTGCCAGATTTTTTGGGCGCTTTGCCATGGAGCCATTTCAGGCTCTTTCCTTTTTGACCTTAATTGAACAATTTGTTTGTTTGTGTGTGTGTGTGTGTCTTGTTTGTAGCTGGACTACGCAGCATGAATTAGCACATAGGCACACACACATTAACGCCTGAAAGCCTGTCTCCCAAAGCATCTAATAATTCTGAATCCAGTTTTTTCTTTTGAAAGGAAGCCGTGCTATTTGTTTGTACTTTGGATATACCACACAATATGTTTATTATTTATGGTACTCCAGATCATTAAATATATATATAATGGTGGTATACAATGGAATCACTGAAACATCATAAAAGTATCAACCCAGAAGACAGAGAATAAATGACCAATTTTGAATTGAATCAATTCTCTAAAAAGTCTGAAAAGACGCCTTGCTCTACAAATGAGCAAACCTGGCCATTGGTGGTAATGATGAAAGGGAACAATTTAAATATATAATTAAACAAGTTCTTAAGTGTGCAGTTTGTGTGTTTGTGCCTGTTTTCCGGTACATTACAGGATCCCTGGTCTGTGATTGGGAAAAGGTCTTGTAAATGAGACATAAAGATGCTTATTGCTGAAAATCTGGTACAGAGATGTTTATTCGTGAATGCTAAACATACAAGTATAAACTATTAAGTCTATGTGACTGCATGCTCAAGGATGGTTGTGACTACTTGGGTGTAGATAATGTTGTTGCTTTCATTGTAGAAAAACACACACCTTATTTCTGTGAATGTACCGTATTTTTCCGTCTATAAGACACTCCCATGTATAAGACGCCCCCTATTTTGGGGGACTCCAAATTAAGAAAACATGCCTCAGCACTACCCGTGTATAAGACGAGCCCCGATTTTAAACCGAATTTTTTGGTAAAAAAAACCTAGTCTTATAAACGGAAAAATACGGTAAATGCCAAAATACCAACCTGGGATTTGCTCAATATTGTTCCATTTTCATATGTATGGCTAGCTAGTCACTTCTATTTCATTTTGTGGGTTTAACTATAGCTACATAAGCTTTACCTTTTCTCTAAGGTAAGTTTTTTCTTTCTTGTGGCTGTTAACTATTGCTTGCCATCTGGGGGGTTTAACGTGTTGTATTTCTGAGTCTTCTGTTGCTCTACGGATAATATTTTTGAAGGCAAGATTATAGGCTGGAAGCTGTGGAAAACTCTGCAGTATGCAGTCTTCCCTTATTCACACAGTTTTTAGATGTGGATTTAAGCCTTTAACTGCTATGGTGGGTCATCTCAGTGGAGCAGTGGGAGGCATTAGTTGAGTTTCAACAGATCTTTCCTTGGAACAGATTGTTGGATGCTGCAGTGAACTGCTAATTCCTTTTCTCTTTGTTTACAGCAGGGCATAACAGATCCCAGCAGCTGGAGGCCTTGCTTAAGTCAGTCTGAGCAAGAGAAGAGCACCTTGCAGAAATTTAGAAATACGACTCCTGAAAATTGATGACAGGTTACTGGGTGTCACTGTACTGGGTGTCACTGTTCCTTGACACTTACAATTTGGAACTTATATCAACCATAAAACCAGCCCTCACCATTTTTCAAAAGGTCTACCTGTATCTTCTACCATCTTCTTGGGAGCTGCAAAGCTTCTATATATCAGTTTTTTCCTTCCTGAGTCACCAAGAAGTGGCTCATACCATGGGCTATTTTAGATTTTAGCACCTGGATTTATGAGGGAAGGGGGAAATGTCTGTTGTTGTGTTAGGTGTCTTCTCTTCGCCTCAATCTATTTATTGTTGAACTCTCTTTTGCAAGGCATTGTTGATTTAGATGCTCTCTTTCTTGCTTTCTCTCTAATTTTCACTTTTCGTGCTCCTGTGCCCTTGTTGATGCTATTGCTCAAGTGAGATTTGCTGGCTATGTGGCCACCTTTGGTCCAGCCAGCACCTTCTGTCACTCCATCAGCAACTCTCAATAATTTTCTAAGAAGCCTTACTGGAAAATAATAGTTCCTGAGGCTCTGCCTTGCCATCTTTTGTCTAGGCTCTGACCTTCTTGCAGAATAGGTCATCAGGGTTTGAAACATAATGGAAACATGCTAAGGGAAATGCTATTGTCCGATGATGTGGTGTCAGGTTTCATTTAGCACTTATTACCATTCCCATTTGAGCTACTGTAGCTGAGCGATGCTCGCTGGTAAAGTCGAGTTGCAGAACAGATTGTCCAATACCTGACAAATTTTAACTGGAAGTGTATCTACCATAATAGCACCTGTCTCTTGCTTTCCTGAGGTCTTTCTTCTTACCTTGAGCTAATTGGCAGGGAATTGTCATTGTTCTTCACATTTTTCAAAAGGAGAAGGGATTTCTCCTATGCGGTATGTGTTGATTATGAACAAAAATTGGTAACAATTTTCCACGGGTGGCAGTGACTAAGGGGAAATCAATTTGCACCTATGTGCTTAGTATAAGGGAGCTCTTAGTATCTAGTCCTGCTACACAGCTGATTAAGTGCAAATGCTGAGCTATATGAAAGCATTAATGTAAGCTATGAGAAATGGCTCATGATAGTGCATGTCTCTTATTCTGGATATAGCAGAGTAAAAGTCATTTTGCCTCGTGGAAGAATAAAGAATAAAGAGCTCCATTAGTCATTTCCATCTTTGGACAAATAATTAACTGTTTCCTTGTTACATAAGGAACTGGAACCCCCCCCCCCAAAAAAAAACCACTCAATCTCACGGCAACCAACTAAAAAAAACCAACCCACTCTGGGGATCCCCCACTCAACCTCTCTCACTACCAAGGGAATATAATAGACAAACAGAAAGAGAACCTACCCAAATGACGCTGATATAAAAACCCCACATACACACTAAGAATATGTTTACCACTTCTCCCCCTTCTCACATTCCCTCTTTTCCTTCCCCGACCTTCTTCTGTATACAACACTAATGTCTCACATCTTATGTAACTGATATATAGAAAAAACTTTACAACCTGAGAAATATATATATATATTTAAAAATAAGCAACTGAAAATGTTAAGTCTATACCACATAAGTAGAGGGCAGCTCCTGGTTATCCCTCTGCTGAAATGAATGAGCCCATGGATGGTTCCATTGAAACTGATGGTTCCATTTTAGGTAGTTATTACTTAAGTTACTACACTGATGTTTCTTCATTTATCTGTTTTGCTTCTATGCAACCAATATTATCAGAAATGATTCACATGTAAATTTTCCCTAGACTAATATATTCTAGGTTATGTCTGGGCAAGTGCTTATTTTGCCTATGTGTGCAACAATTTATGATAGCTTGTTTAATTATTGTTATTATCTTCATCATTAATATTTTCAGACTGTCCTTCAACAAAAGTTCTCAGGGTGGTATATAAAAACACATTAAAATACAGTGTAAACCCACCAATTAAAATCATGACATTATCCAGCTCATGAATCAATTACAAAAAAGTATCAATACAGAATTTGTAGGGATCAGAAGCAGGCCATTTATGGTTGACATTATCTTTTGTGTTTCTTGTAACAGCATTTTATTTATTTCTAAATGTCACCTTTCAAAACATAAGTTTTCTCGAGGCCACTTACAATCATTATCACAGACACACAAAACCCACACCAAAATAAAGCCAATATCTAATGTTTTTAGAGCTGAAATGCTTCTTAATGCTTCCTATACCAGCCCAACCATCTAAGTAAACTACTGAAACAACATAAGCAATTTAAAACAATGCCTAGGAACTCATTTGCGAAGTGACCTTGAATGTACAAACCTTCTGATCAAAACCGTTATGAGGTATGTGTAAACAAGGCTGAATCCAACTCTTCCTTCCTAAAGACCATGGGGACCAGAGAGATTTAAAAATGCAAGTTTATTTGCTCTTTTCTTTCCAACCGATATGCACTTATTCCCAGTTCCAAGGGATAGAGATCCTGGGAGTACTTGTGGAACATTGCCCATCTTTTAATGATCACATCAGAGCTTTTGCCAGGCTGACATTTGATTACCTCAGAACAGTGTAACGCTGCATTAGCACCTCTCGCAAATGGATGTTGGATGGCTTATCCATGTATTTGCAACATCCCAGCTGTATTACTGCAAGCTTCTCTGGAGGTTTTCCAGAAGGGAGCACCCAGCCAGCTATTGTGCACAAAGGATTCCTGTTCCGACTCAGGAATGTGTCTAAATCACTTTGCATGTGGTGACTTTTCAAATGGTTTTTGTGCATTTTTCTCCCTCAGAAAGTGACTATGTGGTGCAGCAGATTGCCTCTATCATCCTTCATCTCTGGAAATGTAAGCTTCACTCTGGCTTAGGGTTACAAATAAAATGATCTGGGTAATTCGTGAATGGATGCTAGCAGTACAAAAGAGCCACACATCTTAGCACGCTGTCATGGTTGGAAGTCTTGGTGTTGAAAGGAATTGATGATAGACTAGGAGGTGGAAGGCAGTTGAGCCTATGTGAAGCTAGGAGAATTGCATAGCAACAGGTATGGGAAAACAACTTAATCACCCCAAAGCAGAACCTTCCCAATATACCTCATCTAGTCCTTAGTATGCCCCTGAATAATACTTGCTGCTGGGGAAAAACAGAAGAGAGGGATTGCCCTCACATTTTCTGGTTGTGGGGTTCTCATAGCCACCTGGTTGGTAACTGGGGGAAATGGGATACTGAAAAAAATAGGCATTTGGTGTTACCTAGCAGGGGTCTTCTTATGAACGCTGCATGCATACTTTGGGAGTACAATGGACCCTCTTACTTTGTATGCTGAATGTGTTGATGCAGTGAGGTGGGGTATGGCTGCTGGATATGGAGGAAATAGGGTTAGCCTGAATACCCCTAAGACATCCCTCACACATTCCTTCAATGTTTGTGTCTGGGTGGTGGTGTTCGAAACCCCTACCCCATGCTGTTGCCATGGTGGCTCACAGTGGGAAGGCTGGGCAAGGAGATCTGAATGCTATATTTGGACAACTGAGAAATTCAGATAACTTTGTTACTACAGGCGTTTCATCACCTCACTGCTAGCAATGCTTAGACTACAGCTCCATTCCAGCTTAAAAAAAGAAATGACATTAACTGCAGCATTACAGCATGCAGTCATGTCTGAAATTATTGAAAAAAGATAACAAGTATATTGCATTCTAATCTAATTATCTAAATCATTTAAATTATTTATAAGGGCCGCTTCGAGTCTTTGTTCTAAAAGGTCTTTATAGACTGCACATAATTTAGTGTTCACACAGTTGAGACTCAGAGGAAACTTAAACAGTTCTCTTCTCTCTCCCCCCCTTTTAATGCTCTGCAAAAGAAAAGAAACTCCACTAATTGACAGCTTAATTGCCCCTATAACTGTTGATTCTTAACCTTATTCCAAATACGATTTGAGTAAAGAGAACAATTCAGCACAATGTTCCATGTGCAACTGGTTTTGTGAAGCTGCCATAGTAACAAGGACAGAATCTGAAAGTGCTTTTCTTCTGAAGGCAAACCTTGATCTTTTATGGACATTAGGCGTGATGGAGCCAGAAACAAAGTGCTTGCAGTCGGATTGGTTTAGCTCCCCCAAGAGAATTCTCGTTGCTGCTTGCTTGGCACGAAGAAATGAATTTTCACTGAAAGTTTCAGACACTGTGTGTTTCCTTTTAATGCTTCCAGTAGGAGTCAGCAGGTTTTGTGTGTGAACATTTATCATTCCTTATTAAATTTCTTAGTCGCCTTTTTCAATAAAGGCCCGAGGCGACTTACACAAAATATAAAGTACACAAAAAATTGAAACACAGTTGAGGAGGTTGAAGGTGGGAGAGATGTTCTGTCAGGTAGGTAAAGGTAAAAGGTAAATGATGCCTGGATGGTTAAGTCCAGTCACAGGTGGCTATGGGGTGAGGTGCTCATCTCACTTCAGGCTGAGGGAGCTGCCATTCATTCACAGACAGCTTTCTGGGTTATGTGACTAAACTTCTTCTATTTCAGCAGAACACAGTGACGGAACCAGAGCACATGGAAATGCCGTTTACCTTCCCACCACAATGGTACCTGTTTATCTACTTTCACTGGTGTGTTTTTGAACTGCTAGGTTGGCAGAAGCTGGGACAGAGCAACGGGAGCTCACCCCATCACGCAGATTCGAACTGTCGACCTCCTGATCAGCAAGCCCAAGAGGCTCAGTGTAAGGCTTTATAAGACCAATTTTTTGAATTGGGCCTGTAAATATATGAGCAGCCAGTGCCCCTGGGCCAGAATAGGTGGTCTATGGTCCCATTATCTGGTTTACATTATTCTGGAAACTGTGTTCTGCACTAACTGCAGTCACTAAATAATTTTCAAAGAATAATTGCCATTCCCTCACTTTGGAAAGAACCTTTTGGAGCTCCTTGTGATTCTTCTTGGTTTTTACCATGCTGAACAATTTGGGGGGTCTTCAGCAAACTTGATCATCTCACTGTTTATCTCTAACTCTAGATTATTTATGAACAAGTTTAAAAACCCCAGTCCTTGTACAGATCCCACTTCTTACATGCCTCAACTTTGAGAACTGTTGATTTATTTCTACTTTCTGCTTTTTCTTCTTTATCCAGTCCAAGCACACAATGTCTGTTGGATCACTCCCAGCATCACAATGGAGATAATCTGCTATTGTTATCTTTTCTCATTGTCATATAACTGAAAAACAAAGCTGGGGATCCTAAAAATGAGACACCAGGTTGGTTTTGCCTCCTAAAGTGTAACTCTCCTGAAAATGTATTGGGACCCCCAGATGGAGATATGTGTTACCATCTCTATTGACAAAGATTATTGCATTGAAAGCATGGATGCTAGATAAGAATATCCAACATGGAGATTCTAGTAGTGTCTTTTGATTATGCAGTGGGCCATTGTTAGAATTGGACAAACATTTATTATCCAATCCCAGATATTTTGCATATATTTAGGCAAGCTTTGACTGAGAAAGTGAATGATTATCTTTGTCAAACCATTTTTAATTTAGATAAAAGATGCAGGGAAAATCGGTAGCTACCATAAACTCCAAAAGATAAAAGAAAAGATATATAAATATAGAGCAAAGTACTCCTTCACCACCAGCCATTTTGATCTCACAGAATTTCAAAGTTAAGCTTCATTGGACTTTAAAATATTAATAAACGTGTTTGAAGTTTAAAGGTGGCAGATTCCAAAAGGCAGTTTAAGAATTTACATCATATGTCTGGAAACAGCTAGACACAAGGACAACTCCCTGAGTTGCCTTTTGCTTGCTTCTAATAAAACATTATCTGTTGTGAACACATGTTTATCCTGGTGAACTTTCTTTTAGCTTGACAATATTCACCATACAGGGTGTGAGGTACTGGAAAATAATTTTAAGGTGCAACAGTGTAAAATTTGCATGCAGCAACATCTAAAATGTCCTGTTCCACTCAGGATGAGATGTGCCCATTATTCTTCACATCAAGCCCATTATCCATAATTCGTTCTAATTGAATGCATTTACAAATGCCATTTCAACATGTTTTAGTCCATAGGTCTAGCTACACATTATATTAATGGTATCACTTGCAAATGTGGTATTGTGCTCCTCCACCTTAATTACAGGCATAAGGGGCAATGTTCATTAGGAAAATAAGGTTTAACCTTTCCTTTCCTCATGATCACAATGTATATTGCCCCCTATAGGACTGTTTTCTCCCCTAGGCCTAAATACAGTGTGTCAAATAAGAGTTTTGATCTCAACTTCTGTGTGTGTTTGTGTGTAACCTCCCCTTCTGATGCACTGTGTTTCCAGTGAACATTGTTGTGGTCATGGCTGTAACTGAATAGAAAACAAAACATAGCAAGTGACGCAATTAGCATCATGTGTTGTTAGCCAAGAGAGTTAACAAAGTTTTAACTTACAGATAAGGTTGCATGTGCACAAGAAATAGGGGAAATACAGAGCTTCTCATGTTACTGTGTTGTGTTTCTTTCCAAGTGTAAAACAACATCTTGCCTGTCAAACAGAGGGAAATTCCTTTACTGTAGTTAGAATAGGAAGCTATCTTGTGCAGCCCCACCGTCTCTTCTAAGCAGAAAAAAGTAATCTGAGATCTAGGAGGTTTCAAGCAAACCAAGGTCTAAAGCACTTTTTCTCAAGTGACAAAACTGACAAAAACTTAATGAGCTTTGCTGCTGTACAAGTGTTCTCGCTCTAGTTGCCTACTTGCAGCCTGGAAGCCCAAAGTGGTGCAAAATGGGCCCAAAGTGGTGCAAAATGGCTTCAAAGCGGACAGAAAACATTCAGCATGACACTTAAGCAGTGGGCATAATCAGCAGTGAAGTCAGAGATGAACTTATGCGCTTGAATGAACAGTAGGAGCTCAATTTAATGTATATTTCATAAAGATTTAGCTATGCTAAGGAATGTTTCGAATCAAGGTTGTCCCTCATTCTGGCCCTTAAGTAAAAGAGACTTAGAGATGGTGACAGTGTCTGCTCCATGCCAGCAGCACCAGGAGGCTTCTATTGGTTTTAAAAGTGTATTATGCTTTATTTCTTGGTGTCTATTTCTGTAAAATGCTTTGGGACGCATTTTGTTTGAAAAACGGTCTATACATTTTAAGAAACGAAGTGACATTCTCTGCTCTGAAAATGAATGCATTAGCATCTTGTGGATGTATGTTCAAAAGCACTTCTACTACACTTAAATGTTATGTTTGTTTGTGTCCTTGTTTTCAATAGTGCAGAACAGGGCCAGCCCAGGATGTTTAGCCACTTCAGGCAAAACAGAAAATGTTGCCCCCTATGGTGTTGACAGGGGAGGAGGAAGGGGTGTGTGGTGGGTGTGGTCCACCCCGGGTGTCACCACTGAGGGGGGTGACAAAATGCCGGGCGGCACTCACCGCAGGGCCTGCAGCGCACCCGAGCCACGCGTCTCTCCTGGGAGAGACATGGTGGCTTGGGCACACACAGGCTCCGCACTGCCCAAATGTTCCGCCCACTGCCTCTCCCTTAGCCGTAGGGTGACTGAGTGGGAGGCAGGCAGGCAGACTCTGGAGGCCCTGCAGTGCACCCCACCTCTATGGGCAACTTGCCCTGTGTCTGGGCGTGCCGCCCCAGGTGCCCAAGCAGCTTCCTCCACCGCTGGCTGTTGACTCCTGTTCTTCCACAGCACATCCCTGCCTCTGCCCCCACAGCCTCCCCCAACACTGAGGGCATGGTGGTAATGGGCAGTTTGGAGGAGGCTAAGGTGTCAGGCCAGCGTAGATGAGGAGGCCATGGGCAGGCATGGAGGAGGCTGGGTCTGCCACCTGTGGCGACTGCCTTACCTCACCTCATCAGTTGGTTAGCCCTGGTATGGAAGATGGAAACCACTCTCCCTCTCTTCTTCTTTGCACAACACTTATTTGTTGTTTACTAGAAACTAGGGTGAATCTGTTGCTAAAGCCTTAGCCAAGCTATAGGGTTTTCAACAGCAGACAAGTTTCCCAAGTTCCTCGAGTAGGAAATTGTTCATTTTTATTGTTGTTGGGTTTTGGGGTGTGTGTTTTTGCTTTTAAACCTGTGCAAAGTGCCATGTGTCTTCATGGTAGTATCTACCCACATTCATGCATATATACTGTATAAGGATTGTTCTAATATTCTAACATTACAGGAGAGCTGACATAGTGAAAATGTTTATTTAGATTTTTTCAAGGAAAATGAATAGCCTATGTCTTATCTTTATGAATCGAAGTATCAAGTAGGTGGCTTGTTTACAAATATGTCTTTCTTTTCAAATCACTAAGCAATTTGTATGTCAGTAGATGATGTCATGACAGTCACAGTCAAGAGATTCCTTTTCTTTTTTAAAAATGTAGGAGTGACAGGAAAAGAGGCTTCATTATTCCCCCTGCTCTCCACATCCTTCGACGAGACTTTATTATTCTCCCCAATCAATTTGGTACAATGAAAGAAAAGTAAGGAACTCAAATATTGAATTGCAATTCAACAGACGTATTTATAGCTAAATCATAGCCCTGTCAAGTTGCTGTTGGATGGGCACTAATTAATGTTTCTCTTACTTTGTATTCAGTTCTGATCTGTGCAAGGAGCACTAAGGAAAACGTGAACTGATCACAAGGAGTCATTTGTTACTGACAGCATCCATCTTATGTTCACAGATGTTGCTCCACCTGCCCAGGAAGAAGGAAGGGAGGAGCGAGTAATTAGGCAAATCTAAATGGTCACAGGAAGAAGCATCTACAGTAAATGAAGCTAATATTGTTTTCATTTTCCTACAGGCAAAGATGGCGACATGGGATCAAAGAGGGTTAGAATATTATCTGCTGAGGATTTACTTTCCCATAATGTGCAAAAATATGGCTTTTTGAATATAACTTGTAGACTTATAGGTATTAAAGATGATCTGCTTATTCTTCCAATGGAAAACAAAATGGGGGGGGGGGGACGACGACGACAAAGCTCACTCTTCACAAGTGCCAACTGAAAATCTTTGTTCATTCTGAGACAATTAATATTTACAAACATTTTTATTAGAGGAGGGCAATAGAGTAGAGTGGGAAGGAGATCATGCATGTAATTGTTCCAGTGGGGATGTTACAGCAAAATATGCCATCAGCAGAAATAGAGATAGGAATCAGCAACAAAACTGCTTTACCTGGCATGCCTCTCTACAGATGGAAATGTGCCGAAGAATAGCACAGGAAACACCATACCCCATATATTTCCCTAGAAGTGTTCCTTTACCCCAAAGGCCTCACCACCAGTTGGAGAAAATGACTGTGTGGTCAACTAGCCTGGGACTTAGAAAGAAATCCTGCATGTTTTCTGAGCACCTGTTATGAAGTTCTGCAAGGTCTCACTAGTCCTTAACTTCCAAGGATTTCAATGCATTACAATTTCTTTAGGACTCTCCCCCCCCAACCCCCCCATCTTAATTAATTAGGCTGAAACATCCTTCATCTTTCCCACTTCCAAGAAAGGTAAATGTTTATGACAATCCTACTCTCTTAACACGGGGAACAGAGTAACAGTAGGTATGGAATTACCAGGTGGCAAAGCCTGATTTAGCATTCCAGATTTGTGATAGACCTCCAATGACATTTCACAGACCATATTTGTCTTAGGGTTTGAGTCTTATCAGTGCCATTCAGTTTGAGTGACAAGCAACCACATGGAAGCAAGTCCCGTCAAAACTCCCAAGTCAAGAGGTGCAGCTCAGTCAGACTAGTCCATCACACATAAAATACTGGAAGTCCTGATGAGCTTGCAGTCATGTTTGATTTAGCATTCCACTGATTTCAATGGGACACAGCCATGAGTAGCTTTTCCTGAATTATGCTTGCACGATTAGGCTATAAACAAACAACATATTCCAAAGCAACCCAATTAGCCTAAATTGACATCATGACTGAGCAAAGACTTCAGTATGGACTACCCATACCCACTCACCATTCACTGGTGCAAAGCAATCCTAAACCCTTATCTGCACTGTTGTGGGGAGGATAGGATGAATCAGAGATGTCCCTGCTCTGAGTCCCTCTGGGCTCCTCTGCAGTGGGACTAAACACTGGTGAAGGGCCTTGCTGTAGTTGCTGAAAGTGTGATGGAACACACACTACCACTGATGGTGCTCCCACAGGCAACAGCCATCATCAGGACTGTAAATGGGGCATTACAGTGGAAGGATGGGGG